TTTGCTTAAACGGCTTTTTAAAAGCCCATCAAAAAGTGACCAGGAAACACTGTTCGCTCTTGCAGATCCAGGCAACTTCATCATCCTACCTCTAGCTTTATTTTGAAAATGGGACCTCCTCGTGCCCTTGCGGCTCATCCCCCCCCAAAAAAAAAACCTTCACCAGGACTAATTTACTTCCAAGCAAGCTACTTTCAAGCTCTGTTTTCCCCCCTCCCCTCCCCTCCCACCACCATCCCCACCAAGGGAGAAGCTGGGCTCTGGTGTCCAGACAACTTTTCTCTTTTTATACCAACTTTTATGTGCTAAAACTGGCCAGACTCCAAAGGGCTGTTTCATTTTCCTGTACCTTATAGGATGTTTTAATGCATTACATCTGGACACCATTCATGTCTGCAGAAGACACACTGCTTGCTCCCTTCCTCCACCTTGCCCCTTTTCTGCCTCCCCCCCCCCAGCCTCTGGCATAATTCAGACAACCCCCCCCCCCAGCCTCTGGCATAATCCAGAAAACCATCCTTCTCTCCCTCCTGCCTTGTTTGATCCCCGCACCCACCCGCCCACCCCATCGCTCAAAGCATCTCCTTCCAGGCGGCTGAGCCCAGATGCGGAGGGGGGTGAGAAGCTGCAGCTCTGCACCAGGAGTGGGGGGCTCGGCCCCCTCACAACAGCCCTGGGCCTGGAAAAGGCTGGGCACGCACCCACGCACGCACACCCTGCCATGTGGTACAGCGACTCCCCAGCCACTTCGGCTTTGCCAACAGCCGGCCTATTATCAACTATGCAAATGAGCCCCGTTCTGTAAATAGCTCATTATTGGGAGCAACAGAGGCACCGTTTTTTTTTTTGCTTCTCTCTCTCTCCTTCACCAGCTCTCGCTGCTCTGGTCTGTTTTTCCCACCCCCACCCTGCCCGCAGAGCCTGAGGCCCGTGTCTCTCCCGAGGTGGTTTGGCATGGCTGGCACGTCGCCCTTTCCCCGCCTTGTTATCACGTCGCCCGTCTCTGATTGCCAGCCAAGCAGCCCCTTGCAGGCGGCACCCGTGTCCACACACGGAGGGGCTCTTGAGTGGGGCCCGAGGGTCCCGCACCGCCACCTCCCGCGATGCTCTTTTGGACACGCTGACACCCTGCGAGCCTCAACCCCCATAGAGGAGCCCCAGGCCATGGGACTGGAAGGCCCATCATCCTCTCACCAGGCTGTAGGAGGCCGCAGGCCAAGAACAGCAGATCCAGGAAAGCTCACAGGAATGGACTCGGCACCACACCGCTCACCACGCAGGTGGCGCCGAGGCTTGAACCGCTTACGGAGACGCCCTGCGCCACTCAGCACCCGGGGGGGGGGGAATCCACCCAAGTGCCTGCGGGGAGCCAACCTGGCCATCTTCTGGGTGAGACAAGGCTCTTTCTTGGTTCACCACAGACACCCTGCCGGAGGAGCCCAGTTGGAAACCTAAGGAAGCCTGGAAATTTTGGGAGAAGGAACAAAAGGTCCCCCCCCCCCCCGTCTCTCACTCTCTCACGCACACACACAACATTGTGTTTACTGTTTCATATGATTGTTTACCTGTTTTTTAGTTGTAAACTGCCCAGAGTGGTTTTGGCAGCCAGATGGGTGGTATAAAAGTCAAGCAAAGAAACAAATAAGCAGCAAAGGCCAGCTGAAATTCACGGCCGGCCTCTTGCTTCCAGGAAAGCCCTTCCCAAAGAGAAACCCTTACAGGAGGACCATAAAAGGCCTTCTGGTCTCTGGAGAACGAAGGGAGCCGGCCAGCGAGGCAGCGCAGCGAGCGTGCGGGGGGTGTGTGTGCGGGGAGATGCAATTTTGACAGACACAATTCTCTTACCAGGATCTGGAAGCAGCTGTCACAAAACAGCTGCCCCCTCCCAAACCCCCCCCCCCCCGGAAAATTTGTCCGGGAGCTTTCCCAGCCCCTCCAAACACCCGTGTTTTGCAATTTCTTGGCAGAAGGCGAGCACCCACGTCAACC